AAACAAATTTAAAACTAAAATATTTACACCTTAATAAAATAATAATAATAAAAATAAATCATAAGGCATCAAAGAAAACATTTTCCTCATCGCTACCGTGAGGTAGGGTGCCCAAAAGACTGGCAGCATTGCCACGTTGAATGGCAATGCTTAACCTTTGCCCAAGGTAGTAGCCAGCCCTTCGATCACCTGAAGTGTCAACCATCCTCCTTACAATATCTTTGTAAAGAAGATGTGCACTTGGGCCCCACGGCCCTAAAGTTTCAACCCCAAACGGTTCGAAAGCATAATTGCCAATCAGGCTATTATACTTTCGCCGTTTGAGGTTCTCGGCAGCAGCAGCGGCAGCACCGGCTCGACACGCTGTGCTTGGAAGATGGGATGGCGCCAGAGTATCAACGCAAGTGGCGTCCCATACTAAAGCCCTAATGTTTGAAAAATGTGTCTAGATAATTATGTGTTTTTGTTTTTGGTTTCTGTGTTAACTGTTTTGTAGAATATTTCGTTGTTGTAACATAAAATTATGACTCTTTTGGAGGCAACGATTTGTGTAATTACGATTTAATTATGTGTCAGAGTTGTGTTTATTTTTATTACTTTCTGTTTCTATGTCACTGAGCTAAGATAAAATTATTTGACTAATGTAAGATATATTATTTACATTTAATGGTAAATTTTGTATTTTTCATTCTTTCATCCTAGTAAACAATGTAATTATACTTGTGAATTAAACTTTAACCCTAGAAAGATAACCTACGCTTCAGAGGCGCCCTCGTCGGTTTAACATCGCTGTCTTTTTCTAATGAGCGCGCGTATCTACCTGTCCTTTTAAGTTAGCTCGGTGGTCGGTGCACTGAGTCGCGGGACGGCCGTTTTTACGCGGTAAGTACCATAGTTTTGCAGTTATGACTAAGTGTTGCGCTCCAAAGGCGCATGGTTATCTTTTGTGTGACTTTTAGTAAAAGTATGAACTTGTTTATACTTACATAAAATGTTTATTTTAACTGTTTATTTCTTAGTTTTTAGTAGAAAATCTTTTCACTTTCATTATGACGCGCAAGAGGACACTTTCTGATGATGCAATACATAGGTTTATCGCTGAAGAGGAAGAGAACGAGCATGAACGAGAGCAAGGAAATGACAGTGAGACAGAAGATAATTTGAGTGAAGATGACATACAGAGTGATTACGAAGACGAGTTTATAGATGATGAGGTGCCACAACAATTGAATGATACACAAAATGAAGACGATATAAGTCCATCTGTATCTTCAGAGGTCACTGGAATTTCGACCAAATGTGTTCTTCAATGTCGTGTTCGAGGAAAACCAATAGATGGCCAATGTGTATGTTTTATGGCATTCTGAACATAGTATTCGTCAATTCTTATGTTATATATTGTCACAACATTCTTGCTAAAAATGAAAAGCCTCTAAATAGAAGGGGTTATATGAAAAACTTAAGAGCCCAGTTATCTGAATCGTGGATGTAGGAAAGACTGGAAGCTCCTACTTTGCCAAAGCATGTGAGATATAATATCGCTAATATTCTTCCGAAACCGGTTGTACATAACAATACAGATAACGAAGAAGAACCTCCAGCAAAGAAAAGGCGGTATTGCACCTTTTGCACTAATAAAAAAAATAATGTCTAATATAAAAAAGCAAGAAAACAGTTTGCTGCGAACACAAAAATGATGTTCGTTTTGAATGCCTATCAAACCAAATTTGAGCCTAACGATTGTAGTTTTGACAATTTTTTTTAGTTGATTAGTTAGTAAGAAATGACTTAATTCGTTTATAAGAAGAAAAAAAAATTTTTTTTTGATACTGTGTTCCTGTAAACAGAAGACTGCTAATTTTGGTAATTTTTTCTAGAGATTTTTTGATTTAAGTTTTATTTCTAAAATATTTAAAATATTCCACTTAAAACGTTTTTTTTTATTAGTTCATGAAACATATTTCAAAAAAAGTAAGTAAGTAAATACAATAAATAGGTATTTAATTATAAAAAATATATTAATATTTTGTGCGCCTCCGAAGCGCATGGTTATCTTTTGTAACAGTCAAAATATGGTTATCTTTCTAGGGTTAAAAAAAGCTATTTGAATTTGTAACTGGAACGATTCCAACCTATAAAATTGCATATTACTTTATATTATTCAAAACAACTCTTTAAACAGTAAAACATTTTTTTTATTATAGCTTACCTTATGGTATATTAGAGAATCACCACTATTTTTTATAAAAATCGATAATTGTTACAATTATTTGGCCGTTTAGCGTTGCTATGACAACCAAAACATAGATTTTTACCATAGACTACAAAAATGTCATGTTAAGCGAAAATGTCATTACCAAACGTCAAAAACAAAATATCCCTCTGTTTCACGTTTGAAATACTTCACGGTGGACTCCTTTCACGACCTATCTACTTATTTTGTTTTTCCTTTTCGTTTTTCTCTACAACATTTATATTAAAAAATTGTACTAAATGAAACACGAAAAAATCTTCTAGAAAAAGTAGAATCGGGAAGAGTAGAATTGGGTATAAAGTATAGACTGCCAAAAGAGTGTACCCTCTTCTATGATTTTGTGTGATATGCTTTGAACGCCATCTGCATATTGTTCCGTCCCATGAAGTGACGACTGACGTTTATTGAACTGGTCCTGGCCCTATAAAAATCATAGATGAATAAAAAATATCGATTATTAAATGCCATGTTATGATTTGGCGGCCATACATATTAAATATTTTACTGATTTTATTAAAAAACTAGAGAAATCAATCGCTATGTAGACAAAACTGGATCGGTTTACGTTTAATGGTTTAGTAAAGAAGATGGCGCTGCCGTGCCCAGTTTGTGTTATTTTTGTAGGCATATGTTCCCCTACTTCCCTTCATAGGAGAACAACAAGCAAAATGTCAAAAAGCGTTTCATGTTACATTGTGGATTTTTAGCATTATTCCTGAGATAATTTGCAAAGGAAACGTCGGAATCTGCCTCTGTCTTGTTTAGTTGATATGTCAAAGAACCTACATTTCTTTACTTGTATCACGCGAAAAGCATTTTGTTTGGGAACTGCAAGTTTGACATGTGTTTCAGTTTCAGTGAGCGAAAACAAGAAATAAGATTAAAATTGAAGTTATTAATGTAATTAATAGGATGGCTACATACGATAACAAGATTTGGTTGTTAAAAAATATACGAGATGCTTTCATTGCGACTGACGACACCGGTTTATGTGAGATCGTTATGGCTGGAGACGACTTTTCGAAAGTGTTCCAAAATAAAGCTGTTGAAGAGAAAAAGAGGATAAAAGAGTTGAGGTTGACTCAGCCTGGACCTAGCAAAGGTAAAGATGGCATGGGGGACATATCTGAAGAGGAGGTTGGAAGGGAGATAGTTACACAATTTGATCCTTATCCTGATATGGATGATAGTGAGGATGACGACCCGTTGTGTGGCAGCTACGTGCGCTCCGAGGAGTTTGGAGGACACAGGTAAGCTTAGATTACAAATTTTAGTCATGAATATATGTCTATTGCAACATAAACACATGGCCTATGCTGAACTTAAGCGAAGGCATTAAAATGTACTACAACAAGTTTCTATCATTAGGAAAATAAATTAGATAACTATAATAAAAAATCAATTACTGTGCAAACTTAGGAAAAATTGCTCTATTATTCATAATTTCAATGTAAAAAATGTTTACCTACTGACCTACTTTTCTAGATTAGGTTAAATACAATCTGTGCTACTTATGTCATCCTGCATAAACAACCAGTTATGACATCATGTGAATTTAGTTTACGGCTGGAATACATGAATAATCCACTTCAGAGTTTCTATTGAAAAGTCTATAATTTGTTTTAGCTAATCTAATTTGTCATTTTTAGGCCAAGATCCAACACAGCTCAATGGCTTGACAAGAAGGAGCAAGCATTAAAAAAGGCAGCCAAAATAAAAGTTATAAAATGGGAAGATTCCACACCCCTCACAAAAGACCAGTTAACTGAGGCATTTTCTAAATTTGAAGTTAAGAAACCAGAGAAGAAGAAATCTTTGTTAGCTGAACAACTGCAGAACTGTCCCAACTTACCTCACCGTCAATATTTGGAGTATGCAAAGTTTGATGGGACTGCACAACTGGGGCTCCCTACAAAGTCATTCAAGATCTTCATGACTATGCTACCGGAAAAGTATCAGAATTACCCCCTAGTTGTGTGTGTCATTGCCAGTGCTAAGATCAAGGATTTAATTGGTTTCACATGCTATAAATACAGGTAACATTTGTGTTTATTTTAGATAAAACCATTTAGCACCAGTTTACCTTCCTCTAAATAAATGACTCACTACATGAATGCATGAAATGACCTAAACTATTTTGTTTACTGTTTCCAGCATCGATCATCCAGACATAACACTTGGTTCTGTGCATGATTACGGACTTTGTATAGCAGAGGATGATGGAGAGGTTGACTGGGCGTTTCCCTGCCTTGATGCTAACGAGCCCTGTTCCAAGTTCGGTTTCACATGTCTCGGGCTAGTAGAATTAAAAAATAAAAACGCCATGACCTTACCTCCTTCATCAATACCAGAGGATGGTATGAGTGGGGCCTTCCATGTGTTCTCAAAAGTCACAGACTCTGGTCAAAGTCATCATAATCCATCCAGACACAATACAGGAGGCAGTTCTACATCGGAAGCCGTTCTGATAGCTCTGAAGGCTTTAAATGAAGGTAATAGATTCATTAATTAAAATTTTTTCCTTGAAAATAGAATCTTCCGTTTCCTTTATTGATCAATGTACTGGGGATGGGTTATTATTGACTCTATCCTTACTATTCTTTGTCCGCATTTATTTTAGGTGGTGCAGACACAGACTTAGGCAAGATGCAGTCTCATATAATGGCTACCGAGGCGCCGCAGTACAAAGCATACAAAGTGCAGTTACTTCGGAAAGTGAGGACAAATACATCGGTACAGCTCGGCATCTCGCTCGACAGGATAGAAGTGGAACCGCTAGTCACACATAAACACGCGTTCTGGGTAAGTTATCCCTACGTCATAGGTAATTATAAAAAAATGGGTGTGGCAAAACCATGAACCCAATAGGTAGTAACTGTTTATATCAGAAGTTGCAAAATCTATTTTGTGAGGAAAGAAATAAGTATCAGATTTGTACTGCTATGATATTCTAAGTCACTTGCTAAAAACTAGATGTGTGCTTCTGAATTGGGTGTATTAAAATTATGTAATTTGATTTTTTTCCATGTACAGTCGAGGTCGAAGTACTTCTTACACAGCATAGACTCGGTCGCTTGGTGCCAGATCCTGGAGACACGGGGTAATAGGACCACCTTCAGAATAGTCTACTCTCCTAGTCACAACGTTACCTACGCCGATAGGAGTAATGCAGGTAAAATTCTTACTTAGTTGAAAGAATAAAAAGTATGTTTGAATGCAATGCAGACGTTTTTTAAAAGGCTAACGAAAATGGTTTCGCTATTTCTAATATCAAAATATTACTCTAATTTTTAGGTAACTCCACAATATTCCAGCCAAACACATCATACAAGCTCCACGACTTCGAGTGCGAACACGACACAGCTAAAGAAATCGTTGAGAAGGTAAACACAATACTAGACCTTAGGAACAGTCCGTGCCGCCGCGAATACAAGACTGCCAAAGAAAAGAAATTACAGACCAGACGAAGTTTTCACACGAAACACATGAGTTGAGTCTTGTAGATACTCCTGTACAGTGTAATATACTCCAGTGAAAGTTCCTTTAGTACATTAAACACAAGTGAAATAGTATACATTAGTTTGTCTCGGAAGGTGTAAAGTGCTAGTAAACCGTAGCATCCCTCATAGAGGCCATCGTCAATCACAACTAGTATTTAAAAAGCTGGAATTGAGTAAAGTTTGTTAGAAGCATTTATCTCAACCATTTGGATTTTTTAGGTTTAATGAACCAGGAAAATTATGTTATAATCTAGTCCTTTCCTGCCCTGAATGATTTCAAATGACATATTTATCCTCAATATTATGATGAGTGTATTCTCAGTTGGAATCAGCATTTGTTTCAAGAGAATGTGTAATTACTGGTATAGTGTGTGCTTGAATGGCTTATTGAATGCAAGGCATCGATTGATAGAGGCTTCCAGCCATTGTTATTGACGTGATTCTAAACAGGTTGTGTTTTTGTAGCAGTAAATGGATGCAGTGGCCACGGATATTAACAAAAAGTTAATAATGATACTAAGTACAATTTTGGTTGATTATCATATCGTGGTTTGACTAAAGAAACCAATACAATTTTATCTGCCTGGGCAGTAAATTGTCGTTTTAATTTAAAAAATCCAGTTTATGTTAAACCTGATTTTGTTCTTTCTGGTTTCGTTTTATATTAATTTTTCAGTATTACTTGAAATTAACACATTTGATGCCGTGTCGGACAATGACGACCGACGCTAGCGGAGGATTAGCCTTTAGAAGTTTATTACTATAAATTCGTTGCCCAATAAGCAAGTATCTACAATATGATGTCACACATAGCATACATAGTAAGTTAGCCCCGTTGTAGGTGAGATGTACTGTCTATCTTTGATATATTTGCATCAGCCACACTGCAGTTAAGATACAGCCTGTTTAGAAGCACCTTTAAAATTAAAATTAAATGAAAATAAAATTGCAACCACATGAATTGATTCATACTGTAGCATTGACAATTTTATATGTTGGAATTCCTAATTTGTAAGTTAATTTAGCAAAATTATTATTTATGCAAATCAAAATTATACATACTTATTGCTGAATTGCTGTAATAAGTATGTATAATTTGATTGCAGAACACATGCTTTTTAGACAAAAACAAAAAAAAAAAACATTTTAAATATAACAGAGAATGTAATGAAGCTACAGTATGAATTGACGCAAATTAACATTTTAATAATTTTGTATTTAGAACGTAAGACATTTGTAACATCTGAAATGTGATGTGTATTCAGTGTATATGAATATTGATTTTATTATTTTTATTGTTTAAGTTGTAATAACTTATTTTCGTCCATATTTAAGTTGCGTTAGAATTTATTGAAATGGTTTATGTCGCACAGAAATCCTGTGGGTTTCATACAAATATTATTCAATGCAATATTATGTTGAATGTCTCACATAGTTTTAACTGTGATGTCTATATTATTTTAAGTAATCTTTAACGAAACTTTTAGTTCGGTTTTTATTGATTAGAATATTATATTGTAATAGATTTTATAATTCAACTGGATTTCAATACAAAATGTCGAATTATATAATGAAATAGATGGTATTTTTGAATGAATTACATACAATTCCAGTTTCCCGTACTGTCGCTCATATGAACAAAACTCCACTGCCAGATTCAGCTCAATTTTTATCAGAAGTGATCCATTGTGTGCCTTACTACTTAATGGTAATAATAATTATGTATTTGTGTATGTCCAGATTGAAAGATGTATGATTCAAAGTATGGAAAATGTATATTGTAGCCTATTTTAACCCATTATTGTATAAGAAATATATTCTACTTAATTTTTTTCTCTTAAAATTTTGTATACAATGGATTGCTTCGTAAATTCAAATGTACAATTTTGTAGTCATTTATGAATGAAATAATTTATGTTGTGATTCTCCATGTTGATTTCTTTATGAATCGAATTTATAATATGTATCATGTATGATGAATGAAATGTAAAGTTACAATGAAATAAAATTGTTATTAATTACATAATTTGTGGTTTTGTATGTCTGTGTATTTGCCTCTTACTTTGATTTCTACAAAAATTGGTTACTTAGTCGTTATGACAAAAATAATCTTTGATATTGTATCAATAGCAATTAATGTTAATTGCAACTTTATTGAAATGGAGATAAGGTTGAAAATCTACTTAAAATGTCATTAATATGAAGTACCACAGAAAAGAAAATAGCGAGTGAATAATAAAACTTAGTGGCAAATCTTATTAGTGTTTTCCTATAGGACTTCTACAAATTGTTATGAAAGCAAGAAAACAAATCCAAATTCATGTTAGTCTTTTTATTATAAAAATATTTACACAGTTAATTAATGATTACACTATATTTACAACTAATATCTGCTGATATAGAACAGATTGTTGCTACACTAACCTACAGATTAAATATTGCCACCATAAAACTTGGCAACTATGCAATTAATATTTATAGAGTTAACAATAATATCTCTTACTTTTATGGCACAATATTTGTATAAGGATATTTTGTGATACCTATTTCAGATTTTATTACATAGAGCTATTTACATAATCATGTACTTTTTCTGATTACCACTAATGCATTTGCAATGCATCCTTTTTTCTGAGATTGCACTTATAGTCTTTTCAGCCAGTTGCAAGAGATATTTTTTATTTTATTTACAAACACCAAGGAGGTTTATGTCATGGTCACTCTGTTGGTCCAACAGTACTGTTTTCTAGTATGTAATCTGTGACCATACTGACAATATTTTCACTCTGTGTCAATATTACATTATCAAGTTCGTTTGCCCTTTGATATAGTGCTCGGGTCTCGAGTACAGATTTGTGAAGTTTCTGTTGACTGTCAATGAGTTTGGATATGTTTGGTTTTCCTTTGATGAATTCTATATCTTCATTGGATAGTGCTGAATAAGACATTCTTGATCTGCTAGATGCTTTTACAGCCATCTGGTATTGTCTGTAATAAACAACAAAGTACTAAGTTATTATCAATGACATGGACATATAATTTTCATTGTAAGTACCTTATGATTGATTCATACTCCTGAAGTTCATACTTCTACTAATGTTGAAGAATAACTTAAAACTAAGTGGATTTTCGATTTCGTGTAGTAGGAACATCTGGTTGGTACATTTTGGAAAAATTGCAAAATAAATAGACAAAATGTCAACATTAAAACAAATAAGATTAAAACTCACTGTCTCAGGTCATGGTACTTGTTCCTCCTCTCATTTACCTCCTTCTTCCACATTTCTTTCTCAGCCAGGAGTTTCTCACAATATCTATAAACAAATAACACTAAATATTCAATATTCGTCAAGTCACACAGTTGATACCTGTATAATGTTTGGTATGGACACGACAAGCTCCTCTATACCTTGTGAGATCTTCAGAGTGCCTTTCATGTGCGTCAGCCTCTTTCTTATTTGAGTTTACATTGTCAGTCATTGCGTGTGGGACTGAAAGCAAGAATATCTATTAAATAATGTTTTTCCATAATAATATAGAACAGGACAAGTAGATTTTGCATAAAAACAGTCTTATACGTCTACAATTTCAAATATAATGCACAAGTTACCGCGCACCTATTGAGTCCCTTCGTTCGAAGAATGTTGACCGTCTTCGGCGAGGTGGAGATCGAAAAGATTGATGTGCCTCTGTTTCATTCATCGAATTATCCATTATTATCACTTTCACCAATTTTCAAACTGATTTCATGAACTTTTTAATGAAATGCAAGTAAATATTTTCAAAATTACAAACACGACATGACGTTACAAACGGACGCCGTCTTTGACATAACACCATAGACTTAAAGAAGACCATAGAGAAAATGTTTCTGGGTCATTCGGATATTCAAATATTTCGCTTTGCCATGCATCATGCGATTTTGAACTTGAAATCTATGGTGATTTTTTTAGACAGTTTGCGCGGCAAACATCTTGCTAAATATTAGTTTTTATTTGTCTGCTCAGCTGGAAGGGTGCCTTGGTCGTCCATTTTGGGATACTTATCAAACTTTAACTTATTTTCGGAAATTTACGGTAAGGCATTCCACATTATACTAAGGAAAATGTGATAACAGAAAATGCAGTTTTTCAGATGGAATTACAAGAGTATTTTCAAAATTAAGTAAATATAGTCCAGATAGATATTCACTAATGAAAATCATTTTCATTACAGGTAGTAGTGTTAGAAATACGTAAGTACAATTTGCTTTCATTTACTTTTGCGTGAAACGGAGTTTTTTAGCTGACATTTTTAATTTGACGTTTTGTTTTCTTCAATCAATTCATCTCATCTATCGGTAAATACCTACCGCAGTTTTTTTTATTAATTTTGCTAAGTTGAAAAAAGGGTCGTTTGTTATAATGTTTTGTTCTCGCAAGAGAACCTAAAATTCAATGGGTAAGATTGTGTTGTGTTGCGATGTAATATTTATGTTATAACAATGTTTTTGTGCTCGACATGTATCGCATAATGTAGCAGTGTTTGTGAAATATATAGTTTTTGTGAATGTTTCTCAACAGCATGCAGTAATGGAGTTCAATGAATTTAGAACAAAAGAGGTATTGGACCCGGTAGATATAGATTATTACTGTGATCGATCACGCTCGCCGAGTCCGCCACCCGTTTTCAACACAAATGTGTGTTGTGATTTGGAAGACATCTTGAGCGACGTAAGTGCACAATATTAGTTTTTCACTCGCATTTCGCATGCAAGAATGCACTTTAAAACGTAAATGAGGCTGGGGCTAATTGAACCCGAGGGCTGTTTGTTCAACCGTATTACAGTCGTCAGGTAAGTGAGCCTGGCATTGTGTATTATTTACATACATAATATAAATGCATATAAACGAGTTTTTTTGTTTGCTCTCTTAACCTGTCGGGAATATTAAGTTACATGTGCTTGTGTAGCTATGAAGAGGAAAACATGTGATTCTAAATTTAAAATCAGACACATTTATGGTCCACAAATAATTATAATTGATTGTAAATGACTAATACTTAAATCAATTATTCAAGTATCTTGTGTAACCACACACAATTAATTGAGAATAAACATAACAGTGTTATCTTTGACTGGGCCCTTCTATGATAGTAAATTAAAACAACAAAGGTTTAATTAAAATACTGAACTATGAACTTGATTCCTTCCCATAGATTAAACTTTTAATGAATTGACCTTGAATTGTGCTCTTGTCTTGTACTGAGAGAATAATAAGTATTTATTATAGTTTAAATACTAAACATGAATAAATTGATACAACATAGTTAAATTAATGGGTTATTAATTTGGTGGTTTAATTAAGGAGTACTTAGTTAAATTCTTGTTGTAAATGAAATGTTATCTTTGAAGTTTTTGATATCATACATTCACTATGTTAGGGAAATAAAGTCATTGTTATTTGTTCAATATTGTTATAACTGAAGTTATTACACAAACCATAGACTTACAACAGCTGTAGAATGCTTTGTCCATTTTTTTTAAACTGCATGAGGGTTTGGAATTTGAATGAAGAATAAAAAAAAAAGAAACATTTTGTAGCTGAAGGTCTGTTTTTTTTATGTTTTATGTTTTATTTATTTGGACTCCCAACAAAAGATACACTTACATGCAAAAAAAAATAATCCACCACACGTTACAATAACCTTGTGATCCTTCAATTAAAGGGAATCACATCATGCCCATACAAACATTTATAGCAATTGAATGAAATTAGATTAAATTAAATTACAGAAATGTCAAGAAAATACAAAAGAAATACAATATCAAAAATCCATATCATAACATAATGCAAAACAAGTCAAATAATTATGAAAACAGACCTCATTGCTTAAGCATGTGCTTGCAGTATAATAATTATGTTAATGTTTTTATATGATGTATATCTGTAAATAATATTATCCACCAATTTAAATTGGATGAAATGAAAAACGTTTATTTTAAATTGTTAAAAATAAACAACAAAATTTTTAAAAATTGTCTTTTATTTTAGGCCATATCAGAGACATTGCATAGCTCTCTCCGTGTGAGCCGCAGTCAGCTGATTAACCAAGAATTGACTATAAGGCCGGAGGCCAATATTGAAGCAAACGTACCAGAGGGCTTAGACTTGTACAAAGTTATCTTTGAAGTAGAGAGTGACACGGAGGGGAGGATGAGTGACGTAGAGGGTGCCGCAGTAGACAACAACTCATTGACTGATCAGGTATGTTTTTATTAGTAACTATTTACATACATACATTGAGTTATACTTTTGTCCAATGAGAAGTCGGCAGCAGCTGTGTTTTTCCAATCTACTTAACAAAAAGTTTTGCTAATTTATCAATAATTTGGTATACATTCACAAATAGAACATATTATTTGATTATAAGTATATCATGTGGGCACTCAATCAATCCAAAGGCCAAATTAACTGCTATCTAATTATGAGTGAAATTTGTAAACATTAAATTAACTTTATTATCTTTACACACCAGTGGTAAGGTCTAATGACCTTTATAATTTATATTACATAACAGTCAGATAAATAAGACAATTAACGAAAATTGGTTTACCAATCAGAAAATGCAACTACTACTTTTTTTACACTTTCATCCTAATGTTGCCTAGAGGCTCCATTGTACAAAATAATGAATGTGTAAAATATTTATTGATGTAAATAATATGCAATAAAGTATTTATTATTATTTAATGTTGTCTCAGAAAAGGAAGTCAATTATAAAGAATTTGAATGGTGCTCTGACTGATTCTCAACCTCTATAGTTTTATTTTTTAAACTGTCAAACACCAAGCGGTCACCGGTGACCGCAATCTATTGTTCTATAATTGTGTCTATAATGACGGTACTCGACAAGTTAAATGGTATTGCTATTGCATTATTCTAGCAAGTAGGTTCATGTGCAATATGTATTCAATTACTTGACTATCTGCCCCTATTGTCTATTGTATGAATACCTATATATACTACATTCATAACAAAAAACTGGAGCACTTTGACATGACATGTGAATGTAAACCTTGCCTTGCTGTTTAGTACCTTAGTACCTACCTATGTAGGTAATAAATATTATGTTTTACCTAGTATTATTACGGCTAATGTGAAAGATAATTAATATTTTGATTCAAATAATTATGCAAATCAATTGAATTTAAAATTAGCAGAATTCATTTACATTTTTACTCAATGTTTATAAGTATAATGTATGTTTTCGATAGATAGAAGCCTAACCCGGGCCTCAATTTTAGGTTTGTGTCTGATCTATGGTAATAGGTTCACCATATAACAAGATGTATATTCAAAACTTCTTGTTGTAGTAGAAATAGACAAAATGATTCATTCAAGCATTGCATTGCATTCAACTAATGGTTATTTTTTAGTAAAAAGTAAACATATTTTTTCTGCTTTTGCGTAAAATATCGCATCGTAGTACAGTTTCTAACAATGCTAGAGAAAATGGCTCCGCAAGGTCGATCTATTGTATTATTATAGTTCCCCAACAGAGCACCTATTGCATCGTTTTGATAAATCGCATTACACTGCACTCGGGCGCACTCGTTACGTAATACCTACGTACTTACATATTATGTATTTATAATCCTTCCTTGAAGACTGAACTGAAGTGACTTGAGATATTTTATTTTAATTTGAACTAGCGTCTGCCAGCGGTTTCACCCAAGTTCGCGTGGGGTAAAAAGTAGTCTATGTATTTTTCCAGACCATAATCTACCTCTGTTCCAAAATTCATCCCAATTCCTTCAGCCGTTTTGAAGTGATTGAGTAACAAATATACAGAATCACAAAGTTTCAAATCCATTTAAAAAAAAAAATCTCAGTAGTAGCACGGAATCTGGAAATGTGCCCGGTATATGGCAATAGGATCATCCCTTATTACATGGGACTCATAACGTAAATAGTGAAAAGTGGGTGTTACTTCTGTGTGCACCTCCGCCTACCCCATCGGGGATAAAAGGCGTGATGTTATGTATTGCGAGTATCCTGTACCTACTCTCCGTGGGCGATGCCGATCACTTACCTGGTGACCGACCTGTCTGGTCGTTTGTAAAAAAGTAAAAAGTGTATTACATTTTATTGAGAGTGCAAAATCATCCAATGGCTATTCCCGCCTTGGGTGAATCTTCTTACTTCACCAGTGTCAGACTCTTACTCACTAAAATCCACCGCGTTCATACTCCATCTTCGAACCGGAGCTCCGGTAACCCGTAAGGGTATTTCACAGCTGTGAAAAATCATTTGGGACTCCAAATTGTCCGCAACTCCGGAAAAAGTGTGGTGCTACTCTACCTACAACGTATACTACACATCCACGCAACGTAGGTTAAATACACCACTGTCAGTACCTCCAAGGCTAAACCTTGATTCAAGGATGCTTTACGACTGTGTCAAGGTTCTATGATTGTTATGAAACTGTTTAGTCTAGTAAAAGCTATTAAATCACTAACAGTACTTTCTTTTATGCAATTTCTTATGTATCCTTCGAGTTTATCAATTCGAGTTTATCAATTGAAAACTATGACATTGTTGTTTTAAATATTTATTTGTCATGCTATAAGTTTATTTCCACCGTCTAGAAATCTAGACGCCAGTCTACTTGCAATATCGAAACTGAAGAAACCTATTTCCAAACGAAAGATACTTAGGTAGTTGAACTTAGAAATCTCAACTTAGGACACCATGGCATGCCTAATACTACCTAGGTATTTAGTAATCTGTGATCATGGTTACACTCTAAAATCTAACTACTAGTCAGTATTTGAATAGTTACTGTTTCTTATAACTAAAACCAGTCAAGAATACGTCGCACTAATACAACAAATACCAGTTTCTTAAACATTATTTGCCTTGGAATATCTTTTATAGTGTGGCTTGTAGACCTAAGCAATGACTAAGTAGTTACCTCAGATTTATTATCTCAAGATAAGACAAGGATATCAAAGAAAGTGTGTTATCGTATTGAGTTTATAGCGTTACTTTACTAAGAAAAACTGAAGAAGTGTACCTAACACTTAAATATTAATTTTTCCCTAACTACCTACCCACTGCCTGCGGGTTTACCCTCAGCTCGGCTCTTATTGCTCCCAGCGTGATGTTTTACAGCCTATAATAGCGTTTCTCAATAAATGGACTATCCAACACAAAAAGAACTACTTAATTCGAACTAGTAGTTTCCGAGATTAGCCAGTTAAAACAAACAAGTTTTATAATACAATATTTCTTTTCCCCTTGTCACCAACTGTTGACCCGTCGCACAGTGTGGTATTTGAACGATCTGGAAGGCAAAAATTATTTTGGCGGCTAAAGAGGTTGTAACTATGATATTATGTTAGCATGTAGTATTGTTTTTTATTACAAAGTAAATAATAATGGAAAACGTAATATTTTTGAAAAAAAATTAAAATATTTAATTACAATTAAAAAATTCTCAATATTTAATCTACAAAAATATTTTAAACAGAAATAATTACATTTTCCTTAAATGTTTTGACACAGATCAGTCAGAAAATGAGTTATCTTCTTGACACAACTCAGAATCATCAGCAGTTCCCTCACTATCCGACTCTGATGCCTCATTACCACCGTGAGATTCTGCATAAGATTCCATCGGAAGCAACATCTCTAGGGTTTCTTTTAAGAATGGTTTACTCTTCTTTCTTGAAATATTCCTCATTCCTGTTATTACAGGATCGGAAGTCAGCAGTAACCTGTTGAGCACATCTTGATTGCAAGACATCCTTGAGAATTTTCTCGAAAAGTTTTGACGAAATAAACGAAAGTGTCTATTGCGTGCCTCCGCAGCCTCTTCTGACAGTTGCCCGATTGGAAGTAAAGCGCGCTTAATTACATCAGGACCATGGATCAATAATTTATGGGGTCATAGGACACCATGAATAAAGCTGCACATACAGTTCTGCTGTTTTCTTTGTGTAGCTATCAAATTTCTCCAAATTGATTTTATGCCCACTTGATATTGTTTCTAAAATCACTTTAGTTTTTTGCCTCACCTCAGTTTTTTGCCTTTTGCTTCTTTCACCTGATTCTTCGAATAATTTTTTCGGACGCCCCGGCCGGCTAGTTACTTTTGGAATCGTAAATGTACCTCTCAACCAATCTTGATTCCTTTTAATGAAAATTTGCTCTTTATTATATGCCGCAGCCCATCTAGATTTCATTTCGGACTTGAAGCGTGAGAAATTTTGCTTAATATCCTTAATTTGGTCAGCAGTGTAATCATCATAACCAATGAGATAATTTTCGATGAAATCCAATTTTTCATTGATATTCGGCAAATTTTGTCGCTGCATCAACTCATATAACTCCAATCGAGTCATGATTTTGACATTGGACGGCCCTACAATAAATAAATTTTCTAAAGATACAAAAAATAATATGTATGAAATAAATAACATTTTCACATTAAAAAGTTTGGACACCCTGTTTTCCAAAAATCAAGTGATTCCGTGACCGTTTTAAACGAAATCTTATACGTCAATGATCAAAGTTTGTTGTACATTCTTTTATTTTGCCGGGAAACCCCGGGAAGTATTACTTACTATCCTCGATATTTCAAAATATATGCAAATTATGATATTGTAAAAGGGTTACGTAAATAATATTGTCCAACAGTCATAAAGTAATCGACCCTATTAAAAATATTTGTTAAGTGTAGACACTAACCTGCCATAAAATAATACATATCACTTCACTTGAAATTATAATCCAAAACAAAATAATTGACTATTATAAGTAAACGATTTTTTTAAATAAAACACAAGAAAAATATATCTTAGATGACAACGAAATTCCGACTGACCACACAAGTAAATTTTTGCAACTAAGATGAAAATAATGACAGTTTGAGGTGCATTGGTAAGTAAACATTTACGAGATACCTTATACTTCTACCCACATTAAGTTTTGTAAAATGGACTTATTGCCTCCCAGATCGTTCAAATACCACACTGTGCGTCGTTTATAAGGTTAAGTCCCGCTTACTATGACCTGGTCTGTGGATCTAGTTTGCCTCTTCAATTTTCAAAGCATCTCTAGTCCTCTCCATGTTTGAAATAGTCAGCGTTAGCACGGTTATGCGACTGTCATGCAAAACTTTTCGCCAATTGATTTAATCAAGAGTAGAGAAGGATAGAATGTACCTAGCTGTTTTTGTTAATAAAAGTTAAATAAAACAC